GCGTAACGGTTATATTAAAAGTTAAAGGAGAGTTTGAGTTTCAAAAGTTTAAATAAAAGGTAAAAAAGCGTTTGGAAGAAATAAAATTATAAATTACTTCAAATTAAACTTACTCTATTCAAGCATTACTCACGCAGGTAAAAACACGTGACAATTTCTCGTGCTAATACCCTCGGTAGTTGTTAAATCCCGCGGTACTAGTGTAAAAATTTAAAAATAGCAATTGATACAGGTGATATAATATATAAATATATATTTCGAAGTAAATAGAAAATGTAAAAAAATGGCGCAAAGCAAGGGTAGTTTAAGACATTCTAAAGTGTATAAAGAAAAGTATCTTAAAGGTAATCAAAAAATACTAGCGTATTAGCTAATAGTTATACATAATTAGTTTATGAAATAAATTTAAATAGATAAGTAAAAATAAGAAAAATATATGACATAAAAAAAGTAAATAAAAAAGGCGCGAACAAAGAAAATGACAAAAAGCGAGTCTTACGAGTTGCGTTGTTGAAAAGGCATACACGTCATGGTAGAGATATTGCAAATCAGAGGTTGTGATTAGGTATACAGCCAGAGGTTCCTGTTGGCAAGTTAACTTGCAAAATAGTTTCGTACAAAGACAAAATTTAAATTTAGAAAAACAAAGACAAAATTTAAATTGCAAAATAGTTTCGTACAAAGACAAAATTTAAGAATATGCGAACAAAAATACAATACTAAACAGGCGTAGTTGGTTATCCGGTTTGTAAATGGGTATTGGCAAAGACGGAAACAGCAATTTTTTTTAAAAAATATAAAAAAAAATTTTTAAAAAAAATTTTAAAAAAATTAATAACATATTTGAAAAAAAAAAAATTAATGTAATTGGAAAAAATAATATAAAACAATTTGAAAAAAAGAACATGTTATAGTTGAAAGAAAAAGATATTTATCAAAAGAAATAAATCATTAAATACATAAAAAATTATCAAGGTCGAATAATTAAGTAAAAAAATAATGTTTTAATAATTGTGTTTTAAAATCGCTTCTTTTGCAGTTAATGGCAATAATTGAAATAATCTTAAAAAATGTTTTCTGAACAAATCTAGAAATGTTTTCCAATCAAATCTAGAAAATACTAAGAAATTACTGCCATCTTACTATATAGTGATTCGTATAGTAGATGTTGCAATAATGGGCGGAATCATCCGATGTGAAGAAGTTATTGCTAAAATACACCACCCAACGAATAGGTGCTTGGTGGATGCGTTGGTGTTATGCATCGATGAAGTAATAAACAAATACGACATGATTATGGGTATAGATTTAATAGAGTTGAGTGATGAAGTGAAAATTGGCACAAGAAAATTGAAATTCTGTAATTTTTTGAATAAGTGTTCATCGATACCTCGTGTTGCCAAAATTGAAAATGGAACAAAAAAATCTTATTTTAATGGCAAAAAATTGATTGTAAATTGGGAGTGTGAGAACAAACCTAAAAAGAAAAACAAAACAATTCAGTATAACGTTTCTAACCAACATCGCAATGCGTTCAAGAACAAAACTAATGAACGGATCAAAGATGGCATACTTATTAAATATGACGACAAGATTATATGAAAAGCTAAAGGATTGTTACCGTTCATGTCCGTCATTCAAAATAATAAAAAAAAGAGAAGACTTGATCATCGCGAACTTAACACCTAAGTAAAAGCCTCTACAAGGGATGCAGATGTCATCAACAATGCAATGAGGGATTTGAGGCTCGTGAGTAAAAAATAGCAACAACTCGTTGGTGGAACTAAAAAGAGCATACCTACAAACATATGAAGAAATGGGGTCTTCACACAAAAACACCTGAATATTTTGACGAAAATCTAGCCTATGCACTAGGAATGGAAGTTATAGTAAATCCATCCACAAAGGAAATATTTTCAAGAGAGAACGTGAGATTCCATCATTAAAAATATGCTCACCAAGAGGGAGATATTCTCATTGTATGGTAATCTGGTTGCTAATCTATAAGTTGCTGAATGGTTTAGACTCGCATGTAGCTTTATAAAGAGATGTACAAACATCTCTTTATAAAAATGTAGGTTGGAATGAACCTATTACGAATAAGTACGTTAATAAAATGAAGGAAGTTGTGGACAAAGTCATCAAATGCGATCCAGCAAAAGGCTTATAGAATGTCAAACCAAATGCATTTCTAATTCTATGGTGTGATGCAAGCTCGCTGGAAAAAGGAATTGTGATTATGCAAGGTGACAAGAGAATAGAAGATACAAAATTGCTTCGACCAAAGTCTGATGCAATGCATATCAACGTAACTGAATGGGATGCATGTATCGAAAGTTTCAATATGGCATTGAAATGGAACCCAAATGATATCTCTATCAAAACTGATTCTCATAGTGTATTCAGTTGGTTAAATTCTGAATTGACTCGTGACAAACCTGTAAAATGGGCTGGAAAATGCAAATTACTAATTCGATAAAGGCTTCAAATAATTGGAAAGTTGGTCGAGGATGATATAAATGTAAATGTCACATGGGCACCAACAACAACAAATATCGTAGATTGACTCACACGAGTGCTAACAAAATGGATAAAAAACAATGTTGCAACGCAAGAATATAGTATCAATCATAAACAGAATAATCAGCAGATTAAAAAAGTTCATTAAAAATCACACAGGAATTTCCAAGAGTATGGAGTTATGCTCGCGTGCTGGTATCCACGCTAACAGAGACGTAGGGAAACAAATTGTCGCTGAATGTGATTAATGTAGTTCAATTGATCTTAATGTGATTTTGTGGGATAAAGAAATCTTGTTGTCAGCAAAGTGTGGAAATAAGCAGCCTGCGATGTTACTCACGTTGATTCGTTGCTATATCTCACCTGTATTGTTTGTGGCCCAAGCAGATACACGTTGTGGACACCATTCAGCGACGAAGGTGCAGCAATAGTTGTTCAGCGTTAGAAACAATATGGTCATCGTCGTTAAAAATAATATGGTCATATGGACCTCCGTTCAAAGCTCTACTAGATAGTTATAAGTCGTTTAGATCTTAGACTATACAAGCTATGGCCTCGAAATAGAAAACAAGACTTATTTAATGAGCTGTTAAAAAACCATTAGGATATGCAATTGTTGAAAGAGATCATTGGTTGGTAAAAAGACCAAATGCGAGAGCAAATAATGGTTTACCCATGTCTTTATTTTTAGTCAACAACGTTCTATCAAAACACGGCACTCTTTTTGAAATCTTTTGCCGACAATAAAAACGCGTCCTAATTCCTGAAATTCCTAAAAATTCCTAACTAAGTTTCAAGGATGGAAAGTTAGTGATAAAGTGGGGCTGAAGCCCAAGCATATGACCCTGTATACACAGCAATAGTTAAAAGGAAGAATATTGGCACTGCATAATGGTTTAACTGCTGGAGTTAAAGTCAACAGACATACGTTGCCACAACATTTTTCTCATCTGCAGCATAGTCGCATAGACAAAAAAAATATATATATAACAACTGATAAAGATTACAATCTGACACAGGTTAATCTTCTCAAAACGAACTTAAATCACGTCGTAATCAAAGATCCAAGTTCTAAAATAAATTTCCTGGACGAAGGCGAAGCTGTCCATAAATTATATTTTAAAAGTCACACGTTGCATATTTTTATTATTATAACGTTTTTTATAACGATCATTTATTGTTGGCAAGAGTCGCAAGTTGTATTTTTAAATGCTATATATAGCGAAAGTTGAAAAAACATTGAGGTTGTTGATAAGTAATAAAAACATTGAAAACAAAATGTCTTTTAAATGCGTTGAACAACTACTTTTAATATTCATAGCTTTTTTCTTATCTATTTCGCATTGAAGTTTTGTTTCTTAATATTCATACGTTGTAAGTTGATTGAGTTCTTCTTTTCGCTGATCTCTTTTTTGATTCTCGAAATTTGCTAAGGTTTTCTTTTCTAGGTTGTTCAGACGCGTTACTTCCTTGTTGACTTGCTCATCGTAATGCTGCAATTCGCTTACGAGCCAAGATTTTCTTTACTCTTAAATATCTCTATCGCTACTGTTTTTATTTGTAATTATTTTCTGATCATGAAAAGCAACCTTTTTTCAGTTTTTATTTAAAAACTCCAGTTTAAGTTTTTTATTATCTGAATATAAAATAGGCTCATTTTCTTTTAGTTCAGGGGGTTCCTCTTCCACATCGAATTCTATTTTATTCAAAATTTCTAATTTATAAACATTTTATTTGTAAAGAACACGAATATAAGTTGTGTTGTTCAAAGATTGTCCACGGTTTATTTTCAATTTTTGTTTGCCTTTATTCATAGTTAGGTTCGCCGTTACTCGCGATTTGTATGTAAACAATTTGGCTGCAAAGTTTTGCTGTATATTCTCGAAATAACGACAAACGGTTGAGCTTTGTCCGATCGGCCGTAACTTCTTTCAATAGCTGAACTGCAGAATTTCAATTTCGGTTGATTGACGGAAATTCTTCAATTAGAATGCGATTTATTTCTGGCGACTTGCTAAAAGTTATAATCAATTTACATTTGCCGACCAACGTGCTCTATTTCGATTTGTGTTTCAAAGGTAGGCCCTGAAAACAATTGATTGTACCCACTTGTAAATGTGAACCGCCTGTTAATAAATTAGCATATTGATAACTTTTTAACCCTTTAACAGTCCCGTGTTGTTTTTAAAATACGGTTCCTATTAGTCCGGCTTTTTTTTTTGAAGTGGTCTCTAAATGTCCCGTGTTTTTTTAAAACATTGCGTTTTTGAAACAAAAATTTAAAAACAGTTTTTATTATTTTCAACACTAATAAACACAATAAAATGTTATTATTCAAGTTTAAGAATATACAATCATACTATATAAACACAAAATATTTTTACTAATATTCACTTCTTGTATAATAACTTGCAAAGCATGGTGCAGCACAAAGTCCTACATCACAATCTACACATTCAAATCTCGAATTTATTCGAACTTTATTTTTGTAACAAACAACACCCCTTCTCTGACTCACACAATGAAAATGTTTTTATGCCAAATCTGGCACTTTTGCTGCGAATACATTGTTTCCAAGACAGTCTACCATTCCACAACAAAAGTGATTCATCTATTGATATACTTTGTATTGGTGTATTCGCTTCATTGTATTTATTTGTAAGATAATCCCATACTACGCTTATTCTAGATAGAACAGGATGTTTATTTGGTAAGGTAGCAGAATCAACAAAATGAATAAATTTGTCAATTAACTTGAATTTGTTATAAGAAAACAAATACTTAATACCAGCACTTGAAAACATTGGATTTTTTGTATAATACATTTCATACGTGCGCTTCCATAGTACTCTTTGATATAAAAAAATTGCAATATACTGCCTAATCTCTGGAACTGTTACAGGCAACCAGCGCCTCATTCTGGAATTTGCTGATAATTCATTTTTATTTATAATTTGGGAAGCAAATCGATTGGTCTCATTTACAATAAACTCACAAAATTCACCTGTAAATAAAAGTTCGTACAAATAAAGATGATCATTTTTGACTATATTCTGGTTGTACCCAGAAACACCGGTAAATGCAAAAGGTTGAACTCTATTAACTGGAGTTTCAGATGTCCGTTTGGGTATGTATGAAAACTCAGAACGTTCATTTTCTAAAGAACTGTCGCTAGAACTTAGAGCATCGACCAATGCAGGCGTTTCCTCTTCTAAACCTAGCTCTAATAATTCTAGTTCTGAATTTTCACCGTTAGAAACATCAGAAAAACTACAATATTCTTCTGATACTTCACTCAATTCTACAATTTCATCAAATGTATAACTCTCTATCTCTTTGTGAGTAAAAATTCGTTTTTTTGAAAATGAATTTTTCAATGTAAAAACTTCCTTATTTGCCATAATAAAACAAAAGTAAACACGTATAAAAGTCAATTATTACAACAGAAGCTCTTTAATTACGTAGTAATAAATTTTGTGACAAACAGACGTATAATTACTGATTAACAAGAAGTAAATATAAGGATATGCATAAAACCGTAATATAACGGCATGGACATATGGAAACTACTTTTTGTTTGCGTAATTTTACGGCATGGACTGTTAACAGGTTAACTAGTTCTTTTAAATTTCATCAAATATGAAAATTGTATTTGTTTTTCTATTGTTATAGAGTAGTTATGATTTCATCGATGGTTTTTTTTTCGTCGAGTTCATGAAACCAAACATTTTTAATTTTTAAATAATCGCTTTGACAAACATTTTGTCATTTTTGATTTTATTCTCTGGCAAGTTCACATTATATTTATAAAATGGTAATTTTCTCTTTTAAATTTGCCTTTATCACTATGGAACATGTTATTTTACTTTTACCTGAATATACAGGTTCAAAAATAAGCGTATTAGCCGGATAGACATCCACGTGTTCTTTGCAAATATCACTTCTCTAAAGCCGGTTCTTTATCGCCAATTTCACTGCTTTTTCTCAGTGGCGTTTAATACAACTGCTCATATTGACCTTTCAGTTCTCGTATGCAAATACCTTTTCTTGTAAATACACTTTTTTTATACTTTTCTTGTATGGCTTATATAATGGGCAATCCAAAGTCTTTTATGTAGGCGTCCCTTTTACTCAAATCAGGACAATATTTTATCATTTCTTTTTCAAATTCAAATAACTAATGTAAGTGTTCATCACTACGCAGCTTTCCTATATCGTGAGCTACAGTTTTGTTAAACTCTTGCAATTTTCTCAATGTATCGCCACGTATCAGACCTATTCCGTTATTGCATACAAAGAGTTTTGAATTGACGCTGCTTATGAAATTTAATTTATCAGCAACGTCATAAATTGAATTTCATGAGCAAAAACTTAAAATTTGATTTTGTTTAAACAAAGCGCTTGTTCTCTTAAAGCACGGAATACTCAAAATCAAAATGAAATATTTTAGTCATTACCTGCATTTTATATATACTTCATATTTATATATACTTCATAATATTTATATATACTTTATAATTTATATATACTTCATATTTATATATACTTCATAATAGGTTTCAGCGCCATTGAAACGATTTTTTTTACTTTTAAATCAATACATAAACGAATAACGCTGTCGACGACTAGCAGTGTTGACAAAACTTGACGGCAAATAAAACATATTTGTCTCTTCTGTCACTCCTTGACTTTTTAAATATGCCACCGCATCGAGAATGCTTATCAAATTATTTATCAGACTTTTTTGCTTGTTGACAATAAACTCACAATCTTTATATGTCTCACTGTTTCTTGTCGTCCAATATGCCATTTGTCCATAATGCCCATTGATCATGAGTTTAAACGATCCTTTTTTACCTCATCATCCACTGCGTTAGCCTCTGCCTTCTCTTTAGACAAACTACTGCCAAACTCTTTAGCTAAATGATATCGAACAACAGCCACAACACCTATTATTTTAACAAACACGACATGCTCATGTTGAGACATCAATGTTAGGCGATCTAGACATTTCGCAGTTTCATGCTTGACCAATTTGTAAAGTCTTTCACCTTTGTCAATTTAAAGTTTGTACGTGTTACTGCGTGCATCTCGTTTTCTTTTGTCTAAATTCACAGAAAGTGAAAATTGTCAATAAAAACAGTTTCTCGTTCGACGCAAGGTGAAATGCCACCTGTCAACTAATGTTGACCCTTATTCACTTTTATAACACATCTTACTAATGCACCTGTAACAAACGTGCTTGTACTCACGCCGCCGTAAACATCAATAGTTTCTTGCAGTGTACTGAAATGGAACTCGAATAAACTTTGCATTTTAAAAGCTAAAAGCAGTTCTTGTGCGCCAGCATACTGATTATTTTCATCCAGCACTTAAGTTTTATTAGCTATATTTGGTTCCTTCTTTAACAAATCCATTATTGTCCAAGTTTCTTTCATTTTGAAAGAACGAAGGGTTTAACACAACGCATTGTGTGCCGTTTGTAGACTTGCCAATTTTTAAGCTTTTATCTTTAATCATATCACTATGTTCTTTAGATGGCAGATGTTGGATAGCTATATTTCCAGTATAAGAATTAATTTTACTTAAAAAAGAAAAGAGCGATAGTGTCGATGACATTATAAATTTTTAATAAAGTCAAATATTTTTTCAAGTTTAACATTTTCCACCTGGTGAGCACATTTGTATTAGGTTCTTTGAGTGCTATGCGTTCCGCTTCTTCATCTTTACATCTGCTCAAGACGTTATGTAAAAAATCTTCGATACATAAATAACCGTGCATCGACATAATGCTAATGGCTATTCGAGTATTTCGTGTTTAATTTTGAAATAGGAAAAACAAATTTTTCCTGTAAAAAAATGAATGTCACTAGCATTATTAATCAACTCTTGTCCTTTAGA